ACTGGACACAGAAACATATGTGCTGCTTTATCCACTGTGCACATGGACTCACACTTGTCCCAACGCAACGGAAAGTGTGGAATTTCTTCTACAAATCCTGGTTAAATCCACATTTGTGCTTCGGTTCGTTACAGACTGACCCACTGTTTGTGTCTCGCTCCTTCTGATGCAGAGACACATGTACACACCTGTTTGGTCACAACACACACACACACACACACACACACACACACACACACACACACACACACACACACACACACACACACAAACATACATTCAGTTTGTCCATTAAAATCAACGGAATCCATGAAATTCTTAATGCTCAATTATCGATTAATTGACTAATCATGCCCGTCCCTAACACATACTACTCTCAAAAGTACTGCAGTAAAAGTAAAAGTACTCACTGTAAAAAGTACTGAAGTACAGATACTTAAATATTGTACTTTTACTTTTGTACTTCTTTACCTTCCTCCACTGGGTCCAGGTTTTGGTCCGGGTTTTGATCCAGGTTTGGGTCCAGGTCCGGGTTTGGGTCCGGGTCCAGGTCCGGTCTTGGGCTCCATGCGGCTCAGGGCGAAGCGCAGAAGGTTCCGGATCTTACTCCCGTCTTTGACCCGGATCTGAGGAACGTCTTTGGAAAGAAACGAGAACGGACAAAGAACCGACTGCTCCACAGAACCGACCAGAGTGTAGTTCTCCATCTGCAAGAGACCAGACCAGGACTAGACCAGGACCAGACCAGGACTAGACCAGGACTAAACGAGACCAGGACTAGACCAGGACTAGACCAGGACTACACCAGACCAGGACTAAACCAGACCAGGACTAGACCAGGACCAGACCAGGACTAGACCAGGACTACACCAGACCAGGACTACCAGGACAGACCAGGACTAGACCACACCAGACCAGGACTAACCAGACCAGACTAGACCAGACTAGACCAGGACTACACCAGACCAGGACTAGACCAGGACTAAACGAGACCAGGACTAGACCAGGACTAGACCAGGACTAGACCAGGACTAAACGAGACCAGGACTAGACCAGACCAGGACTAAACCAGAACCAGACCAGGACTAAACCAGACCAGGACTAGACCAGGACTACACCAGACCGGGACTAGACCAGGACTAAACCAGACCGGGACTAGACCAGGACTAAACCAGACCGGGACTAGACCAGGACTAAACCAGACCAGGACTAGACCAGGACCAGACCAGGACTAGACCAGGACTAAACCAGACCAGGACTAGACCAGGACTAAACCAGACCAGGACTAGACTAGGACCGAACCAGGACCAGGACTGGACCGGGATCGGGACCGGGACTAGGTCTAAACTAAAACCAGGGATAAACTCGTTTTAAACTTCGTGCTCTTTATAAAAACATTTTTCGGACTCTGACTCGGTTAAACTTTAAACTTTATTAAACCGTGTCCGGGGTTAGCATGGCGGCTAAGCTAACGGCTAAAAACACCTCTGTCTCCGCTTTTTGAGTCACATTTACGGTGAAACTCGGTGACCGGACACGGGAGCGGCCGGTGCCTCAGCGTCGAGCCTCCGTGACGTTTTTACCCCGTTATTCCCCGCGGTTTATCGATCTGTTATCGATCTTTTATCGTCTTACCGCCGCAGTTTGGCTAACTTTACACTTCCACACGTGACCACAGGACCTGCCGTAAATCACGCACAACTGTCGCAAAATGTGGGGAAACCGCTGATAATAATAATAATAATAATAATAATATAATAATAATAATAATAATAATAATAATAATAATAATAATAATAATAAATAAAATAATAATAACAACAACAACAATAATAATAATAATAATAATAATAAATAAAATAATGATAACAACAATAATAATAATAACAATAACAATAATAATAATAATATAAAATTATAAAATTTACAAAACAGACAGAAATAATAATGAAGATTTATTTGCTAATTTGAAATATCTTTTTCAGTCTGTAATTAGTCCTGGTTCAGTCCTGGTTTAGTCCTGGTTCAGTCCTGGTTTAGTCCTGGTTTAGTCCTGGTTTAGTCCTGATTCAAGTCCTGGTTCTGGTCAGTGTGTAATACACCTAAATACGATGTACGATGGCAGTTAAAACACAAAGTCAGGCAGGGCAGCTTTGGCAATTTTAAGTTTATTCATCACATGTTTTTTAAATAAAGAGCTTTGATTAGTTTTACATTTCCAAGTGTTTTTCAGAATCCATTTCAGGAACATAAACAATGTCAGTGTCGTTTAAACCAAATGAAAGAGTCTGATTCCGACAGTGCAAATGTAAATGAGTTAAAAATCATGAATCTATTAAAATAACTGATTAAATAAATGATTAACTGATTAAAATAACTAAATAACCCCAGAGATTTGAAAAAATGCATTTATTACTATTCCTGGTTGTATTTTATGTTTCATGATCATTTATATGTACATTTTATTATTTTTAGGTTTTACTTTGAAATCCGGAAGTGTGCTGCTCTTGTGCGTTTTATTTTGGTAGTTCCACTTCCTCTCAGGTGCAGGTGGGGTCAGGTGCGGGTGGTGTCAGGTGCAGGTGGGGTCAGGTGCAGGTGTTGTCAGGTGCAGGTGGTGTCAGGTGCGGGTGTTGTCAGGTGCGGGTGTGTCAGGTGCGGGTGTTGTCAGGTGCGGGTGTTGTCAGGTGCGGGTGTTGTCAGGTGCGGGTGTTGTCAGGTGCGGGTGTTGTCAGGTGCGGGTGTTGTCAGGTGCGGGTGTTGTCAGGTGCGGGTGTTGTCAGGTGCGGGTGTTGTCAGGTGCGGGTGTTGTCAGGTGCGGGTTGTCAGGTGCTGTCAGGTGCGGTGTTGTCAGGTGCGGGTGTTGTCAGGTGCGGGTGTTGTCAGGTGCGGGTGTTGTCAGGTGCGGGTGTTGTCAGGTGCGGGTGTTGTCAGGTGCAGGTGTTGTCAGGTGCGGGTGTTGTCAGGTGCAGGTGTTGTCAGGTGCTTCTGTCTCTTTGAATAATCCACATTTGTTTTGTAAAATAAAGAAAGAGAAAAAAAGACGTCATGACTGTTTCAAGAAGAAGAGAGAAAGAAAGAGGAGAGGGAACGAGGGAGGAAGGAGAGGGAACGAGGGAGGAAGGAGAGGGAACGAGGGAGGAAGGAGAGAGGGAACGAGGGAAGAAGGAGAGGGAACGAGGGAGGAAGGAGAGGGAACGAGGGAGGAAGGGAGAGGGAACGAGGGAGGAAGGAGAGGAACGAGGAAGGAGAGGAGGAGAGGAGAGGAACGAGGAGGAAGGAGAGGGAACGAGGAAGGAAGGAGAGAGGGAACGAGGGAGGAAGGAGAGGGAACGAGGGAGGAAGGAGAGAGGGAACAATCATTAATCAAATGTTTTGTTTTTCAGCTTTGAATCTGGAGAAGAGTCGTGTTTGCAAGTTTAGTCCTGGTCTGGTCCTGGTCCTGGTCCTGGTCCTGGTCCTGGTCCTGGTCTGGTCCTGGTCCTGGTCCTGGTCCTGGTCCTGGTCCTGGTCCTGGTCCTGGTCCTGGTCCTGGTCCTGGTCTTCAGTAACAGACACGTGCTCCTCAGACTTTAGGGGTTTTATTATTTCACACAGAGTCACATTTACATATTTAAAACATTCCAGAACCCGAGCCCAGACCTGGACCCAGACCTGGACCCAGACCTGGACCCAGACCCAGTTCATGCTCAGGTCTGGGTCTGGGTTCTGGTCTGGGTTCTGGTCTGGGTTCTGGTCTGGGTTCTGGGTCACTGTTGAGCGTCTAATAAACACATGAGTAACATGAACAGAGTGATTATGATTCTAACGAGGAAACAAAACCCGACTAAGACGAAAATCTTACAGCACAGAACCTTGGATTTAAGACAGATCTGGTTTAGTCCTGGTTTAGTCCTGGTTTAGTCCTGGTTTAGTCCTGGTTTAGTCCTGGTTTAGTTCTGGTTTAGTCCTGGTTTAGTCCTGGTTTATTCCCAGTTCGGTCCCGGTTCAGTCCTGTTTTAGTCCTGTTTTAGTTTTGATTTAGTCCTGGTTTAGTCCCGGTTTAATCCTGGTTTAGTCCTGGTTTAGTTTTGATTTAGTCCTGATTTAGTCCTGGTTCAGTCCTGGTTCAGTCCTGGTTCAATCCTGGTTCAGTCCTGGTTTAGTTTTGTTTTAGTCCTGGTTCAGTCCTGGTTTAGTCCTGGTTTAGACCTGGTTTAGTCCTGGTTTAGTCCTGGTTTAGTTTTGTTTTAGTCCTGGTTCAGTCCTGGTTCAGTCCTGGTCCAGTCCTGGTCCAGTCCTGGTCTAGTCCTGGTCTAGTCCTGGTCTAGTCCTGGTTCAGTCCTGGTTCAGTCCTGGTTCAGTCCTGGTTTAGACCTGGTTTAGACCTGGTTTAGTCCTGGTTTAAGTCCTGGTTTAGTTTTGTTTTAGTCCTGGTTCCAGTTCCTGGTTTAGTCCTGGGTCCTTAGTCCTGGTTTAGTCCTGGTTCCTAGTCCTGCTCTAGTCCTGGTTAGTCCTGGTTTAAGTCCTGGTTTAGTCCTGGTTTAGTCCTGGTTTAGTCCTGGTTCAGTCCTGCTCTAGTCCTGGTTCAGTCCTGGTTTAGTCCTGGTTCTAGTCCTGGTTAGTCCTGGTTTAGTCCTGGTTAGTCCTGGTTTAGTCCTGGTTTCAGTCCTGGTTCAGTCCTGGTTTAGTCCTGGTTTTCCTAGTCCTGGTTCTAGTCCTGGTTCAGTCCTGGTTTAGTCCTGGTTTAATCCTGGTTTAGTCCTGGTTCAGTCCTGCTCTAGTCCTGGTTCAGTCCTGGTTTAGTCCTGCTCTAGTCCTGGTTTAGTCCTGGTCTAGTCCTGGTTTAGTCCTGCTCTAGTCCTGGTCTAGTCCTGGTCTAGTCCTGCTCATTGTCCTGGTTCAGTCCTGCTCTAGTCCTGCTCTAGTCCTGGTTTAATCCTGGTTCAGTCCTGGTTTAGTCCTGCTCTAGTCCTGGTTTAGTCCTGCTCTAGTCCTGGTTTAGTCCTGGTCTAGTCCTG